GGAGCGTGGGGTAGGGCGTGACAGGAGTGTGGGGGGACGTAACAGGACGTGACGGGAAGGGTGGAGGCGGGGAGCGTGGGGGGGGCGTGACGTGACGGGGAGCCTACGGGGGACGTAACGGGAGGTGACCCGGAGCGTGGGGTAGGCCGTGACGGGGAGCCTACGGGGGACGTAACGGGAGGTGACCTGGAGTGTGGGGTAGGCCGTGGCGGGAGCGTGGGGGCTGACGGAAGGACGTGTCGGGGGCCGTGACGGGGAGGGCGTGACGGAAGGACGTGACCGGGAGCATGACAGGGACTGTGGGGGGACATAACAGGACGTGCCGGGGAGGGTGGAGGCGGGGAGCGTGGGGTACTGCGTGACGTGACGGGGAGCGTGGGGTAGGCCGTGACGGGGAGCCTACGGGGGACGTAACGGGAGGTGACCTGGAGTGTGGGGTAGGCCGTGACGGGAGCGTGGGGGCTGACGGAAGGACGTGTCGGGGGCCGTGACGGGGAGGGTGTGGCGGAAGGACGTGACCGGGAGCATGACAGGGACTGTGGGGGACGTGACAGGACGTGACGGGGAGCGTGGGGGCGGGTGCGTGGTGGGAGTGTGGCGCGCCGTGACGGGGAGGGTGTGGCGGAGGACGTGACGTAGTGAAGTGCAGGGGAGCGTGGGGGGCTGGAGGGAAGGACGTGATGGAGAGGGTGTGATGGGGAGCGGGGCGGGGTGTGCGGCCCTGGCCGCCTGTGGACGGCCCCGGGGTGAGGCTGGCCAGGAGCAGCGGCGAGGCGCCGGGCGCCGTGGACTCCAGGTGCCGCTCAGCGCCAGCCCCCTCCCTGCAGAGCGGGTGTGCCACACTGTTGGTCCCCTTCCTCTGCTTTGCCAAGTGGGCAGTTAGGCGGGGTCTGCTCTGTGACTCGTGACGTTTCCGTATTGCGGAGGTCGAAGGTAGGTCTGAGCGGAGGGCCATCTTGGCTGAAACCCTGCTGCGGTGGTCTCCGCTCCTGGACAGTGGCGGGAGCCCCACGCCTGCCGCTTATCACGAACCACCTGTCTTCCTGCAGGTTTCTTGAATCCATCTGCTAAATATCAGTAGGTGAACTGTCAAGCGATTGTCCTCAATAGTGACATGAAATATCACTTTAGTGACTGGCAGGTCTGCCTGAGTGAGCTGTGTGCCTGCAGGCACTACCCAGGCGTGGCCAGCCTGGGGTTGGTGGTGACCGCAGTGTTCCTGAAGGAGCCAGCTTCGGGGCAGCGCATTGGTGAGGGCTGTGTGCAGCTGGCMCACAAGGTGTGGGTGTGTGTTTGAATATCACTTTGGACACAGGAAACAGAGTTTTATCTATTAGTTCAAAAYAAAGCAAAACAATAAAAATGCAAGCAGCTGGTCCTAGTTTGGTTCCAAACTAATGCTGCTTGTGGCTGCATATAGAAGGATTTTATTACTTATTGGTTTATTTTTTTATTCAGGTTGAGGTTTATTAGCAGGGAAAATAGGTATTTTTAGAAACATCTCAAGTTATAGAAGCTGTCCTGTGTTCATTTTCCTTGCATCACTGGGACCCTGCCAGGAGAGTCATGATTGTCATTGTCTTCAAAGTATTGAACTCGAAGTGACTTGCCTGGGTCTGTGCAGCCAGGGTGGGAGGGGAACCCAGGAATCTGACTCTGCTGTGCACTCTCTCAACCTTAAKAGTTGAAAGAATTTTGAAGGAGTAAATTTAGATTTTAAAAGTATTTCATGTTTCTAATGTTGGTATTACATAGTTT